CTTTTTGTAAATTATTGAAGATTTTACGCAATCTAGTACTTGAGTTCAGGTTTGCCTCTCAAACCCATAGAAGCTCCACAAAAAGAAAAAGAACCATTACATTTTATTTTTCAAAAGATCCACCACCCAAGAAAAGACCAACAACATTCAGAGAGGATGTGCAGAACAACTCAGTTATCCAGAATTCATAAAGAACATTTTATTATTACTTATCTTATTAATTTATCCTTATTTTGGTCAATTGAATATGTTTAAAAACTTAATTTCCATCACATTTTCCAAATGAAACATCCAGAGAAGTGCTGTCTCCTGTCATGGTGAGTTTTTAATAAATCTACAGCCTCCTAGAAGGTCTCAATAGGTTAGCTGTTTTGTCAATTGTAAGAAAAACTTATAATGAATGAAGCTTTTTAATCTTTAGCCTATTACCAAATATTCATACACAGTGTAGTTTGCATGGGATCGATTGCTCTGGTTCCTGTATCAGTCCCAGTAATTAAGGAATAACTTATTAGTTCCCCTTAAACTGCAGAGAATAATTAAACAAATATGTGAAATTCTTCGTATAAAGTATATTTGAGATGCAAGTATTTTAGTAGGGCCCATTCTTTTTTACATCAATTGTCTAAAATCACCAGAATATAGAAATGATATATATATTCCTCATAACTATGGATCATTTGTTATTCAGTAACATTTACTGTGCTATAAAAATTCAAAATTTTGTCACTTAGTTTCAGTTAAATCTTCTAAAAACCTCCAACCTTATGGCTGAACTTATCCTCAGAGCCTTTTGATCGAACCCTGACAGTGTTTCCTGTCCAAAATCTCACCCCAAGGTTTGGATAAAAGTTTGCAGCCCTTAAATCTGAACCAAAAACTGAATTCTGGGGAGGCTTTGATCTCTTTGTGGTTGTTTTTGGCTTTATTTTATTTTTATGACTCATGAAGCCCTTCACTGTGAAACTTTGGTAATCTGGGTTTAGGATATTTTACAGGAAAGAGATTTAAAGATATTGGCTACTCTAAGCCCTGATTGGAGTTTGCAACAAATAATTTCACAAGGGAGACATTTTCACTGGTATTTTTTCATCATATTGGTACAAATGAAGCTGTGAAAAGCTCTACATTCAGATTTATCGCCATGAACTTATGATTTCTCATTAAAACACGGTGGTGGTAGCATCATGCCAAGGATGGATGGATAACGATGGCCTTAAACCTCTGTGCTCTATGTGCTCTAGGCAAAGACTGGAAGAAAATTAGAGAAAAGGTGTCTGAAGCTGTTAAAGGATACACGCCATGCAGCCCTGTCAACTGCAGCTGTCACCTGAGGTGAGTGATGTGTCGGCCTTCATCAACATCTCTTCTCCTCAATCATATTTGAAAGGAAAATATAACGTTATCCATGTCCAACAAACTAATAGCAAAAAAAGCAATGAGTTATATTTGAAACGAAAGGTGATTGGGGACATAACTTTTCTCCTGACTTCCATCTCAGCGTCCTCCATCATGATTTGAAGCTCTTTCAAAGGGGAATTTCTCAGGATGTAATGGCAGCTACTGTCCAGAAGGGGGTGGGCACCCACTACCAGATCATTGGACACAAGCTGTACCGAGAGCATAGCTGCATGTTCCCTGCCAGGTAGATGAACTCATCTAGTGTGTGTTTATTAGCATTCATGTTAAAGTAACTGTTTTAAAATGCCATAATGATATAAAGTGTATAAACTTTTAATGCTTCTCAGGTGCAGCGGAGTGGAACATTTCATTCTGGAGATCATCGACAGGCTACCTGACTTGGAGATGGTGGTAAATGTGAGGGACTACCCTCAGGTCCCCAGCTGGGTGCAACCGATTCTACCCGTCTTCTCGTTCAGTAAGGTCAGCATCTCTGCGATGTTTGTCAATGTTTGAAGTCACTTATTTATTTGTTCGTTTAAGATGTGATTTCTATTCATAGACGGCGGAATATCAAGACATCATGTACCCAGCGTGGACGTTTTGGGAAGGCGGGCCAGCCGTGTGGCCCATATACCCAACTGGACTGGGGAGATGGGATCTGATGAGAGATGAACTGAAAAAGTAGGATTTGATACCTTTTATTTAGAACGGTGACGTACATGAAAAGAGATTTGGCAAGAAAAACATAAAAAGTAACCATACAGTTCATTTTAAAGACATTTTTTGGTGTAAAAACAGGAGTTCAAATACAAATGACTAAATTATATTTTTAGTTTTTAAAAAGAGCAACAAAAAAATGTCTTTACTCCATAAGTTAAGATTTTATTTGTGTTATATCCCAATTTGGCCACTAGGGGTCAGTAATATGTTTTCTTCTCATAGACATCTAACAGAAAAGTTAAATTCACAGCAATAGTTCAGGATTAAATGAAAGCTAACGGTGCATCTTTTGCTTACGATTTCTCTTTTCTGGTTGCACTTTTAAACATCAGTATGAAATGTCTGGTTTTATCTAACATTATGTTTATTATCATCATTAGATCTGCAGCTCAGTGGCCTTGGAAGAAGAAAGAGACCAAAGGGTTCTTCAGAGGCTCTAGGTAAGTCATGTGACGGTTGTATTTCAAATCGTCTCAGACTGACTGTCAAATAAAAACATATACTGAATAAAAAAATATATTTGTTTGCTAGATTTTCTAAAGAAAGTCCTATGTTTTGCTTTTTCTTTCCGCAGAACCAGCCCTGAGCGTGACCCGCTTATCCTTCTGTCCAGAGAGGCTCCCGATCTGGTTGATGCAGAGTACACCAAGAACCAGGCCTGGAAGTCTGAGAAGGTCAGGCATGAAGCCACACCAGAGCCCCACCCCTCTGCATTAAAGGAATAGTACACCCAAAACATGATTAGCCTTCATTTTCTACTCACCCCCATGCTGAACAACACTCTGGAGTACTTTTTTGATATCTCAAATGCATCTGGAGATCTGGGAGGCTTCTTGCTGTCTGCTGACATTCAAATAATGGAGGTCTATTGTGCCCGAGACAGAAAGGTCCATAAAAGTCCACAAAAAACGTGTCAATATTCCTCCATACTGCTCGTCCAATGTATTCCAAGTGTCCTGAGTGGATAGCATCCAGAATTTACTCGAAACAAAGTCATTTAGAATGTTTTTAGAGCATAAACAGTAGTGTATAGGATTTCCTGAAAGCGCGTTCACAACGCTACGGAAGCCAGCAGACCAAACCAGATGAAAGTGCGCATTCAGCGTCTGCTCTGCCAATAATGCAAGCGTAGAAGAAGAAATGTGCTGTTTACCTGTGCAAAGAAAGAAACAACGAAAGAAAAATGTCTGAGGACTTCAGTGTTGAGGAAGAGCATGAGTTCTTTGCCGAGCTGAATGCGCACTTTCATCTGGTTTGGTCTGCCGCGGTTTCCGTAGCGTTGTGAACGCGCTTTCAGGAAATCCTATACACTACTGTTTATGCTCTAAAAACATTCTAAATGACTTCGTTTCGAGTAAATTCTGGATGCTACCCACTCAGGACACTTGGAATACATTGGACGAGCAGTATGGAGGAATATTGACACGTTTTTTGTGGACTTTTATGGACCTTTCTGTCTCGGGCACCATAGACCTCCATTATTTGAATGTCAGCAGACAGCAAGAAGCCTCCCAGATCTCCAGATGCATTTGAGATATCAAAAAAGTACTCCAGAGTGTTGTTCAGCATGGGGGTGAGTAGAAAATGAAGGCTAATCATGTTTTGGGTGTACTATTCCTTTAAGATCACTCTCTTCATTCCTTTAATTCCCTTTCATTTAGGACACACTCGGTCGACCTCCAGCTAAAGAAATCCCTCTGGCCGATCACTGTAAATACAAGTAAGCATCTTTTTGTAAGTGTAAGCATTTTAATTTAAAGTTTCAGGTTATTCATTGTTACATACATTGGATTGTTCCCTTTTTAGATATTTATTCAACTTCCGGGGTGTGGCTGCAAGCTTTCGCTTCAAACATCTCTTCCTCTGTGGCTCGCTCGTCTTTCATGTGGGGGACGAATGGCAGGAGTTCTTCTACCCTCAGCTCAAACCCTGGGTCCACTACATCCCAGTCAAGCAGGACTTGTCTGATGTCAGGTACTTTTTTCCTTTCATAACCAGAAAACAACCAAAAATTTAGTAAAAACCACTTTATGGTTAAAGTCACATTGTGCGTCATCAGGGAGCTGCTGCAGTTTGCCAAAGAAAATGATGCTATTGCAAAGGAGATCGCCTCCAGGTAGCCGGTTTATTATCAGATCTAGAAGTGGCTAAAATCCAAAGCCTTATGCTAACTCCTCTGCCTCTTCTCTCTCCACAGGGGTCAGGAATTCATCCTCAAACACCTTCAAATGGAAGATATTTCCTGCTACTGGGAGAGACTCCTGACAGAGTTCAGCCAGCTCCTCACCTATAAACCAGGAAGAAAGAGCAGCTACAAACAGATTGTACAGAAACCTGTGAAAACAGAGCTTTGAACTCTGCAGGATCAGAGCAACTATTGTGAAGGAGAAGCAATAATGAATGAATGTATTACTACGGTACAAGTTAAATCTCTCTTTTTTTTTTTTTAAAACTGGTTGTTTTCCAGTTTTGGGAGGAAAAAAAAATACCAAAAAAATATTTTTCCAGGCAGATTCCAGGCTATTTTTAAAAGTATATTTTAAACAGCCCCTAAAGACCTAGATCATCTAGAGAAACCAATAAAGTAGCCGTAACTGAAAGGAGACAGGGTATTTATCGTCCTTTAATCTGCCACAATCTGCAGTCTTTTGCAGTATTCAACAGGTTTTCAATAAGTATTACTCTTTATTTAGCACCATCCATCTTTCTCTTACCTTTGACCAGGATTATACCTCCATTATACCATCATGTCAGTGAAATAATGGAGTTTATTAGCCTGAAACAACTATTTCTAGCAGAATAAGTTTTATTCCATGCTGTGAAAATGTATCTAAATCTTTTATTTGATGTTTTTAGCACTTGATAGTTTTGCTCTGTGGGCTCGATGCATGCACCAACGCTTCAGTGGTGCTGGACCCATCACTAGGACTTGAAGATACAGTTTCTCTTATACCAGCTCCAAGAAAAAAACATAATAGTTTTCATATAGATCTGTTTAATGCTAAAGGGTTTAACACATTTCATACCTTTTTTTTTTTTTTTTTTGGCTAAAATAGGTGTCAGGGTTGGTGTTTATAGGTGATTGATCACATCACTTAAGAAGGATTATAAAGAATATGTTGTAGTATTCGCACCGTCCTGTCAACTATATACATGCTTGTTTTTCTTTGATTTGAACGTGTTATTGTGGCTCATTTGGGACTTGATTTGACCAAAGAAGTTATGATCATTGTTTTAACAATGTTGGTTGTGTCACAGTTTGTTCCTTTTATCATAGTAAATTTTAAGAAAATAATAAAAAAAGAAGTTTCAACTTGGAAATGACTTTTATTTTTTATTTTTTTGCTCTTAATGTGAACTAATTCAAATACTGTGCTGTTGTTCGACTTAAACGGGTTTGGGACCCAAGTTCTCTTAACTTTTGGTCAATATTCAGATGGAAATACATTCCATAGCTCCAGCTTTAGAAATAAGAATTGCTGCACAAAACTGACTGCAGAATTAAAATGACATGGAGCATCTTTTAAAGGTGCCTTTCAGATTCTTTGTGTTATAAGGACAAATTCTTTAAATGCCTCTTGGTTCTGAACACCGGGATCTACTGGATGACAGTGAAACATACAAAGTGGCTCACATTAACTCCTAAGCTAACTTCCTGCTCTCTTAACCTTTAAGTAAACCAATTTTTCCAACAATGCATTATTTATTTTTTTATATAGAAGCAAACACTTTAATCTCTTGTGTTATTTTTTGGAAAAATTGTTATTTATGTAGCATAAATATAGATTCTCACATTTACTTTTTACCACTCTTGTCCAGTTTATAGATTTGTAGCAGGTAGCAGAGCCTTCAACTTTCACATGTTTACATTTTTCTGTTTATATTAAGGCAATGAATGAGATCATATGGGATAGTTAAATATGTATCTTTTCACAGTAGCTATAAAAAAAAAAAAAGATTAAAAAGAGGCAAAGTTAAAGCACCTTTTCAAACCTTTTCATGGCTTATTTATTTTAGTCCTAGAAGTTTTGCTAATGTGGCTGCTCAGTGGGTTCCGGGTTCTATTCCTGGCCGGGGGTCTTTCTGCATGGAGTTTGCATGTTCTCCCTGAGCATGCGTGGGTTCTCTCCGGGTACTCCGGCTTCCTCCCACAGTCCGAAAACATGACTGTTAGGTTAATTGGCTTCTCTAAATTCTCCTTAGGTGTGTGTGAATGTGAATGATTGTTTGTATCTGTGATGGACTGGTGACCTGACCCCCGCCTCTCGCCCATAGACAGCTGGAGATAGGCACCAGCACCCCTCGCATCCCCAACTGGGATTAAGCGTGACAGAAAATATTTACTAGAAAACAGTGATATTTATGTCACTGTTTTAACATCATAAAACATTAATTAATTAAATTATTTTTTATCTTAAAATGAAAATCAAATTTCTATTGTTCTCCTTTTAATGTCTTGTATTTTGCAATCCAGTTATCTAAACATACATGGACATAACCATGACTGGAAATCTGCATAAAAACTTTTTTTTGTGTGTTTTATCAAAACTGTCCTCCATCCAGTAGGAGGCGCTAGCGTTCACTGTTGCATCTCTACTCGTCTGATCCGGGGTCAGGGGTTGTGTTACAGTGCTGTGGTAGTTGTGTTGAGAGAAAGTCACTGCAGAATGACCAGTTGAAGGACAACGAGAAAAAAATACTTTTTTTTTCTGGATGTATTCCCGTAACAAGACCTACTCTTTCTGGCTCCAGTATTCCTTCGCAGCTGTTTATTAGAAGCTAATGGGAAGCTAACACAGGTAACTAAACACCTCAGTCGAGGATACTATGTAAGTTAATTATAAAATTAACTAATTAAATCATTTATTTTCCTTTAAAGACTTAAATAGAGCTGTAAGGTTGCTATATAGGGGCTTTTTTTCCCCACAGTAACCGAGCTAGCAGGTGACCTGACGCAGGTGTTGGGCTTTAGCTTAATTACAACCGCTGCTGCGCGAGCCTTTTAGTATTACGGTACATCATTTAGAAATACAGAACCGTAATACTTGTACAAGAGTAAGTCGATTTAATTTTCCGTTTAAATGTAATTACAATTAAATATTGTATACCTATTGACCCTTAAATATAAAGTCCAATGCAGTTAAGATTTAATAGGATAGCTTAGCGCCAATTAAGAATTATATGTTATTTACATTTTTAATAAAAATAAGGAAAGGTGACTTATGAACATTTGTCATATGATGATAAAAGCTAACCAACCTCTTAATTTTAAGTGTTTTGCATCAATCTTTCTTCCTATGAGCTGCAGCAGGCCTTAATGTTGGCCTGTTAATGGATTATCCCACATGAGCTGTGTGCCTTTGCATCTCCTCCAGAGTAACCACAAGTTTTTTTTTCATTTTTTTTTTCACTCTACATGACATCAGTTCAGACCTGGTAGGTTTGCAGCTGTGATCTATCTTCACAGGATTATTTTTCCAATAAATAGATAAGATAAAATAGATAATAGATTACAATCTTTTTGACAATTTAACCACATTTTTATGCTTCTAAGTAAAAATAAAATAACTATAAGTAAAATTGGACTCATCAAGAAGCTATACTGCTTATAATCAGGGACCCAGACATACAAGGAAACAAAACACTTTTAAATATAGATGGCAAAACAAACTACTTTGCAGAAACAAAAACACAAAATCGCCACCCTGAATCATCATACTGTCAAAAGTTGGACTTCCATACAATTTTTATTATAGGAAAAATTCCATCAAACCAAATCAGTTTATAAAGGATAGATAACATAGTAAATAGAAAACACTTAATTTAGTAATTCTTGAAAAGTTCAGTTAAGGCAAAAGGACATGAAGTTTTCTAGAAGACCTTTCGCCTCTCATCCAAGAGGCTTCTTAGGTTCTAACTAGTGGTGAGGAGCACTGAGATTAATATACTGTAAGGGTAACAATTCTGCATTTAGTCGTTGCACAGTTCAACAAAAATGTAAAGATCTAAACAATAATGGGAGCCATCGGCCACAATATAAGGTACTGTACTGTGTGTAGATTACCAGTACTTTTTGCTTAAAATACTTTTTAAATATATGTTAAGATGGGAAATCTTAAATTGCTTCATCAATGTCATTCCACATCCCTGGCCCCCCACGTCACACTAAAGCTGCTGCACTTCAGCTTCAATTTTTCTCCTTCTTGTGAGGTTTTCTTTCTATATCATGCATAATATAAGCGTTGTGTAGCTTGTTGCATTCTGTGAGTCTCTGGAGCTTCAGCCTGTTAAAGCGTGGGTCTGAGGAAGGCAATAAAAACCCGCTCAGACCCATCAGGTATCAGAATGATGATCCACTGGAGTAAATTAGCGGACATGCATCGTTATGGTTCTAACTGGCTCAGTCAGCTCTCCTGTTGGGGGCTAATTACAATCCCACAACACCTCCTCCGTTTACCGCAGTTCATTTTTAATTCTACTTTTAGGATGATAGGTTTTTAAAATTTAAGGTGAGCCTATGCCTTTGCAAATTTTCAAACATATTTGTAGGTCACTTTTATTTTTTGTTTTGCTCCAGGCTCTATGAGTCTCTCTCCTGTGTTTTTTTTTTTTTTAATTTATTCATACTGCAGCAGTATTTAATAGCTACTTAGTGTGGCAACTTGTGTTCTGTAACTCTCTTATGGTTTTGTTTGCCTCAAGGTGATTTTTTTTTTTTTTCAGTTGAAAACTGCATCTCAGCCCATAACCGTGCCTTTCTGCCTCTGTGTTACAGCCCACCGCCAGCTGAAGCATGATTCATCCAGAGCAGCAGAGGAAAAGCCTCGCTCTGCACAGACGACAGGCAGATTCCAGCCCCCGAGGGGGGGTGATGAGCACGGGTCCGCTGCAGGGCCTCATCCAGACTGCCATGCCTCGTTTCTTCTGCTTCCTGATCCCCAGGGTTGATGCAGCTGATGTGGCTGCCGGGCAGATGCCCCCCTCCTCCTCCTCTTCCACCACTAGTCCTGCTCCTGCAGCCGTGCCTCAACCCAGCACTCTGCCAAAGAACATTTGCAAGCCAGAATTTCCTGACACTGGATGGGAGCGCATCAAGGACCTCTTTGATAGAGAGTTGGTATCTGCTTTCTTATATAACCTTCAGTTGTTTAATATGTTTAGATTGAGACATATTAATGATATTTAATTTTTTTCTTTAACCAAACTTTTTGATGACATACAGAAAAGTCAAAGATTTGTGCTGAATTAGGGTGGGGAATTAATATAATCAAGATTTTACAAAGTGAAATTTTCAAATTGCAGAGGAACTCAATTTTGGTCACATATTATAAGAGTAAGAACAATAGACATTTGTCTCTCCTGCCCTTAAGATGGAGATAACACGCTTAAAGTGGGTTTGCCTCTAGTTACAGTTTTAGAGACGGCCTAATAAATGATATACTTTCAAACTTCTGCTCTATGATAAAGGCCCAGACCCATATGAGGTCTTTTATTGCATTTTCTGAACATCTGAAACTTCTGAAGTTTGAAAGTGGGAGACTGGAGTCATGGTATATTACAGGCATCCCCAAAGTCGGTCCTCGGGGGCCGCTGTCCTGCAGGTTTTAGAGGTTTTCCTGCTTCAGCACAGCTGATTTACATTGATAGCTGATTAACAGGGTTTTGCTGAACTGCAATCATCAGAATCAGCTGTGCTAAAGTAGAGAAACCTCTAAATCCTGCAGGACAGCGGCCCTCGAGGATCGACTTTGGGGATGCCTGGTATATTAGTTACGACTTTTATAGAGGCAAGCAGCTGATTATAGGGAAATGTAGTGCTGCTAATATCCTATTGACGAGTAGAATAAATATACTTTGTAAATTTCTTCTCTTAAAATTCAGCTTATTTCAATAAAAACTAAATTGTTTGGACCAGTTTAAAATAAGGGATTTTTTTTTTCAGAACGTTGGCAATTAAAACTCAAATATGGCTTTAATCTAAAGGGGAATAAATGCTGTTAATTTATTTACATTGGCTGCAGCTGACTAAGTG